CTGTGCATTATGACTGAGACACACCAAAGTGAGAATTAGAAACATTTAATACAAAGGCAGGGTGATACACAGGAGCCCCTTAACTACTCTGGGGGCCCTAGGCTGACATGGGGGGGGGGGGGGGGGGGAGACGGTGCTGGCAGTATAATTTGCCATTCAGGAGAGAGTATCACACTGGCAAATCAATCAGCCAGATTTAATGTTTAACTGTTCATTCATTCATCCATTATCTGCCACTTATTTGGGGACAGCAGTCTAAGCAGCGATTCCCAGACCTCCCTCTCACCAGCCACCTCCTCCAGGGGAATACAAAGGCGTTCCCAGACCAGCAGAGACATATAATCTCTCCAGTGTGTCCTGGGTCTGCCCTGGAGTCTCCTCCCATTTGGACACACCTCCCCAGGGAGGCGTCCAGGAGGCATCCTACAAAGATGCCCGACCCACCTCAGCCGGCTCCTTTCGATGTGGAGCCTCATTACTTTGAGTCTGCATCACTGCCAACGCTGCACCGATCCGCCTGTTGATCCCCCTGCTCCCTTCTTTCCTCACTCATAAGACTGTTAAATGTTCCATTTTTCTCAGCTGCGGTGGGGCCCCCATTTTGCCGGCCAGGGCCCCTGATTTTGCAGCCTGGAATACCCCATGCATTGCTCCACACCCAGTCATACTTGGCTTTATATGATCATAACTTTTCTGCGACAGGATGAATTGCATGTGACCCATGCATAGAGTGTCAATGTCAGAAAATTCGGAGCATTAGGGGGCAGTGTCCTCAAAGGCCCAGAGACGTGCCTATTTACCCCTCCTGGGGAGGAGATTCCAGCATGACAGTCAGGCAGCGGAGCTGCCAGGGCATCATGAATGTGACCGCGGGATAAGAATATGCTTTGGTTTAACACAATGGGTGAGTAACATTAATTACCCAGAGAACGCCCAAAGCTTAAGTGGCTTATTGCTTTTATCTGCTATATACAGTGTATAAAGGTGCATAAAGGGGAGTTGGTGGAGTGCTTCGGGCCAGCCGGCTGTCAGCAAGATGTCTTGCTGTGGGCGGTCCCCCCTCCGAACCTGCCCACGAGCGGCTCCGCAGAGCACAAGCGGCCGAACCTGCCCGCGAGCGGCTCCGCAGAGCACAAGCGGCCAAACCTGCCCGCGAGCGGCTCCGCAGAGCACAAGCGGCCAAACCTGCCCGCGAGCGGCTCCGCAGAGCACAAGCGGCCGAACCTGCCCGCGAGCGGCTCCGCAGAGCACAAGCGGCCGAACCTGCCCGCGAGCGGCCCTGCAGTGCACACGTGAACGTGCTCTGCCCCGTCACAGGATCCAGCTGCCGGCGACTTCCTCTTCCTTTGCCTTGCTTAATCGCATAATAACATGGCTCTACTGAGGTTTTTTTGGTCAGTTTTTTTTTTAACCCTGTTACATAAACGAAACGAGAGCTCGACCAATTTTGGCCTTAGATTTTCTATGGATGTGTTCATGCACTCAACTCGTGACATGGTCTTTGCAGCAGTGGGCTCAGTGCGGTTTACATTTTAATGGAGACCTTAAGTCTTAACAGGACAATGTGGGATGATTCATTTGTATCGGTTTTTCTAGTTCCTGCCTTTTGTGGTTTGCGTTCTGTTTTGCTTTTCTGCTTTGAGCCCTTGATTGTATTTTATCAGTCTGCTGTTCCCCCAGTGTTAGATTCCGTTTCCTAGTTTGAGTTTCATGATTTAATTATTAGTATCACCTGTTGCCCGTTTTGCCAGCCCTTGTTAATTGTTCTCACCTGTCCTGCGTTATTCTTGTTAGCCCTCTATATTTAAGTTCCGGATCCTGCTCGATTCCGTGTGGAGCCATTGATGGTGATCTTGTTGACTGTGTTTTTGCTGACTATGTCCCCAGATGTTGGTTCCTCTGTTTATTTTTGATTCCCTGCCTGTTCTCTGTGTCACTAGTTTCCCTTTGTAGATTGCTTTGTTGTGTTAGTTACTTTGTAACGCTTTTTAGTTTTGACCCCTCGTGGTCTGTTTGTTTCGTAGTGTTCCCATTGTTTTGTGTCTTCATAAATAAACCCGTGTTCCTGTCGAGCCGCCAGTGGATCGTCCACCTCTTTCTGCCTGCATCATGCCCAGTGACAGACACAGAAACACACACACATACAGACACACACATCGTTAAAAGTACGCAGGCTCAATTCCTAACACTACCAATTAGGCAGGTTGCTGTGCGCTGCATTAAAGGATTATGGACTATTTGCTCTCAGACTGAGGTTGAGCGGCACTCAGTCAAACACCACGAGTCGGCTGGCCTGCAATCGCTGGATCTTAAAAGTGTTCAGGGCATCAATGTATGTAATAAAGGGACAAAACAGCAGACACAGCAAAATCCCCCCCCCCCCCAAGCATCATAACCTCCTGCAGGACTTAATGGGCTTGTGTCAGTGAGCCAGGCGTAGGGATGAGCATTAGCAGCATTCTGCCTAAAATCACACCAAATACATCCTCGTAACACGAACGTAGACAGAGTGCAAGTGACTGTACGAAGGGGGTCACACTCCAGCCTCCCGCCCACACCGATATTAAGACTGCAGGCGGACCTTTATTTCATATTATTTTGGATGAGATGGTGGTGAATTACAGTGCTGATAATTTCCAGTAAATGCAAATGGCTCAAATTCAGGTACCTGTGATGGCAAACCAGCTAACATTAAATGGGCCACAGGTAGCACTGAAACCTCTAGAGTGAGTGCGTTTTAAAAACTAAATTTTCAATGGATTTATATTTTGTGCCAACTAACCATAACTCAGGGCTCCATACTAACTTGTCCATACTGTACTAACTCAGGGCTCCATACTAACTTTTTCCACTAGTAGCCCCGATGCTCCTTACTGAACATTCTAGATGAATCAGAACATGCAACATTCTGATAAATGCTTTGGTAGCCTAATATGGGCCTACAATTTACAGAAATAACCATGTGATGTTTAAAAGTCACAAGGTACAGTAGTGTTTAAGAGAATGAAAAATTAAGTTAAAGGCTACTTTGCAAAACATAAACATCAAATCAAAGGTAAGCATAAGGTAAGTGGTCAGCCGCTATTCAATCAGGTCCTCTGTCGCTGCATAGATTATGCTGTTTTTGTGGTTTAGGAGCCTTTCATGAGCATTTTCCACTGAAATTCAGAAATCTAGTTCTGGGCTGTTTCAAAATGGGACTTTTGTAGCTCCCGGCCACTTTTTGTGTCGTTCTCCCACTGCACGACTAGAACTGGCACCACAAACATGGGATACGCAAAAAGCTCATTTCACTGGAAACCGCCGCGCCCCAGCAATGGAGTTATTTTGTTATAGTTAATTGTTATTTTTGCTCTGCTATTTGTCTGTATTCCACACACTTCCGCGTATCTTCCAGGCTGGCTGGGGGCATCTTCCAGTGCCCCCAGCCAGCAGTGCCCCCAAGGAACTGCAATCGGACCGAGCTCCAGCGGTGGGAATGGGCCCTTTGTCACCGAGACAGACACAGACAGACACAGACCGATTCTCACTCTTTTCGGGTGTTTCACATGATACACGACGATGAAAAAAAAAAAAAAAAAGAGTTAAATAGCAGTGTCTCTAAACATGGTCACAACTAAGTGCAACTAAATGGTGACAGTCTGGAACCCTGATAACTGCACTAAAATTGCACCTAAAATAAAGAAGCATCTGTATAAACACGAGGGTGGGAACAGATACATGGCGGGGGGCCTAGCAAAGGCTGCTGGGAGGGGAGCGGGACTCACGCATCCGCTTTAGTGCGCGGGATAGAATAACAAACGCTTATTACGATGCTAAATGAAGCAGCGCTTCTTTGCTCAGTAATGACACCATTAGTGGTCTAATGAGCTGGAAAAAAAAACATGCACTTACCACAACCAAGGCTGAGACCCACAGGGGGTTTCAGAGAAAAGGCTACATTTAACATTCTATTTACAACAGTAATGAAGGGAAGGTCCTTATGGTGTAGCACAACAAAGAGCATCCCGATTCTCTGTATATATAAATATTATACATAATATAAATAATTAGTATATATTGTGCAACACCTATGTGGTGCAGTACATTAGGCCAGCGATGGCGGGGGTTTGTGCTTTACAGGTAGGAAGGAAATAATTAGGATGTGGGATTGCAGTGCTAATCATCTATGCTTAATTGCTCTGTGCATTTAATTTACTCTAATTTGACCTCTTGATCCTGATTTTCTTGAGAGACTTCTGTTCGTGGCGATTTGACAGGCATTTTATTAACACGTAATTATTTGTATTCCTTTGTATCTTTTAGCCTCAAAGGAACTAATTAGCATTTCTCTGGTAAAAATTACATTGTATTGAGGTCACAATCAGTTTGCAAGCACCCATTTGGGATGCTGCCTCTAAAAGCAGCCCGACCAGAAGACACCTATGGATGTGTTTAAACTTTCCACCGGTGTCTCTCCTACATCGCCAGGCCACTACATACCTAAATAGCAGTTAGAATGTAACACTGGCATCTCGCACATGCACCACGCCCTCCAAGCTATGTTTCGTATCTGATTTTTTTTTCTCTGGTTTTCCTTTTGCGGTATCACTTCTGGATCCTTATGCATTACATATTTATGATATCCTTATCTTTCTTTTCTCTTTATTCTTTTACTGATAACACCACCTTCATTATGCCGGAGTTTCATTCCACTGCAGGTTACAGTCTGACCGTACACCTTGCATGTGACGAATTCTGGAACACTTGAGTCTGTTCCAGTCTCACCTCCGCCCACGGCCCGCCTCCTCCGCTACAGTGCCAGTGCCGCCTCTCACTCTGCTTCTCTGCTTTGGACCCTATTACACCATTGGCTGTATCCAGTCGCCTGATTTTCCCGTCTGGCTTGCCATACAGTCCCAGCACAATTCGTGCTAAGCACACAATGAGTAGCTAAGCAGAAAAACACCAGACGATGCTAATGCTAATGGATATACAGCACATAGTAATACAATAACACCACATTTCTATGATCAAATACATACAAATGGCCGTAATACAACAAATGGCATCCTCTGCAGTCATATCAATTTTTTTCTTTTTTTGTGGGGGGGGGGTTAGTACCAGCCTAAAAAAATCATTCGATCCATCATTTTAAATTATCCATGCACAGAATGCAGGTGCACGATACACATGATACAAGTGATACAGGTGCACAGTACCCGTGATACTGCTACATTTTAGATTACATTATATCATTTTATATTATATTATTACTGTAATTCTTTGTTACCATAAAGCTGCATGTCTATGTCACTTAGGATGTGTGGGAGGCTGCACAAGCACACAGAGATCATTATACATCACTGATTAATTCCACAGTATTACTGGCACAAATGCTTCTACAAACACATACTGGTGTGAGCGATTACGTTCTGTCAACTTCACCGCGACCACTAATAGTGAACATGACAGGTTTCGGAGTTGCTAAGAAATTACCTAAAATATTGTATTGCCAAAAGTAGTATACAGATTATACTTTGACACTTTTTTTTCCCCTGAGATTGCTGAATACTCTGTATACTTAAGCATTAATAATCTGCTATTACATGTATTAAGAGTCTCTAGAATACAGAAAAATGAAATCCAAAGTGTATAATGAGGGTAAGGGGCTGCACAGGCGATTAAAACATGGTATCTTAGCAACACTGAATGTGATGCAATTCAGGCTACATAAGGATGAAATGAAAAGAGGGGGGGGTGGGGGTTCAGGTGCAAGCAGGCAGTGCTGCCAACCTATTGTTTGTTAGGGCTTTCCTGTTATTCTGGGGGGGGAGGCAGTGAAGGGAGTCCCCGCAGCCCGAGGGACATGCTATAGTGCACTACAGTACCTTGATCTTACTTTAATTATTTTTTAAATGCACAAGCTTATGTTATAATACCAATAATAATAATAAAAATATGTATCAACTGTTGTGTGCAACTGTCAAGCGAAACATTCTGGTTAATTATTATGTTGATCATTACGATCAATTGCTATGCTGAATCATTATCAGTTAAACTGTTGAGTTAAATCATAATTTAAAAATAATCATTAAAAATAAATAAATGGACACCATCAGTCAACTGGATTTCCAGATGCAGTCTTATAATTTTGTTAAGACAAGGCAGTCATAAGCCATTTAGCAGCAAGTCAGGACCGTGATTGGTGGATTCCTATATGGAGGCCACGATCAACCAAGCAGCAGACCCCTCTCTGGCCCCAGGATGTGGTTTTAGTGCAGAATGGGACATTTGGGCCTTTCCCATAACTTTTTTGGATTATGCAAATAAAAAGTGAATACGCAATTAAGCCACTCCCGGTTTCTGTCAGTTCGCATAATTAGGCTAATACTCCTTCAGAAACTCATCTTATAGGCTTTTAGTCCAATCTTGACATATGTGAACGTAAAATATGTTATAAACGTTTTTAATTACGCATTGTAAGCAATTTGGCCACCATCTAAACCCCGACTGAGAAATCACCATGCTCAGAGAATAGCAAAAGAGCAGTAACTCATGAACAAACTAGTGCAAGGTAACTTTTTTCCCCAGAGTAATTTACTCATACATCTGAACAGATCGTGTTGTCCCCCCCGCTTTTTTAAAGTGGGAGGGGTAATTGTTAACAAATATGCATTAGAAAAGATGGCAGCGATTCGGCAAAAGCCTCTTTGAAGGTAGTGCGAAATCGGTGAGGAACACCGAAATGAACACAGAATTGTTCTAAAACATGTTGCCTATAGGCCTATGTAAAATAATTTAACTGAATTATAAGTTTCGCATTCGCTATTAGAATGACACGTATTCCTGAAGGCGTATAAATACTAGGTATATCCGGATTTGTTTGTTTTTTAATTTCAATGCCCACTTCAGAATGAAAATGAAAGATACCCACGGAACTTCCGAGGGGATTGAAGGTATATTAAATGAGGACGCAATTTAATAAAAAGGAATTGTAAAACTATAAGACGTGGGAAAAGCGACTTTCAGGAATGTCACCTGCATATATCTGCTTGAAATTCCGTAGAAAACCACACCTTGAAGAAACATGGCGAAGAAACTCGGTACAGGTACAGGGACAGCGGGTAAGATCACGGGAAACATTTAGGCTAATGGGAACTCTCAAAAACGGCATCTGAATAATGTCATCTTCGTGGGAAAAAAACAATACGAGTACATTTATATAATGTCGTGTGATTCGTGTCGCACCATGAGGCCGGTTATTAGTAACGAAGTATAAAAGACACTGAAAAGCACAAACGAGTTAAATGGGAATCACACGGAAGAGGTGGAAGCCGTAAAATTCTTACCTTGAATTACTGCAAAAACAACCGTGAGGAGCCCGAGGGGTTTCATTGTAAAGTCGTGGAAGCGTCAGGAAGTGGTTTTACAATTCTGCCAAGACAAGGAACTCATAAAATCCCAGACAAAGTGAACGTGCTTAACTATAAATAATAAGTAAAACGTTTTCTGCAGACCACCGTCGAAAAGTACATTACAGCTCTAACAGAGACTGGCCGGAAGCCAAGAATGTACTTTCACCAGTTCTTGCATACTCATCCGAAGGCAGTGATCGCTTGAAATGACTATAAAAGGTACCAATCGAAAATCTGAGTGTTGTGGTGAGAAAAGGAATAAGTCATAACTGGTTAAGGACTAATTCCTCATCCGGGTTTGAGATTTTGTCGATGCATACCCAAACATCAGTTCCCTCTGAACAGGTGTTGTGTGCCAAAAAGTGACTGTCTGCCAGAAAATGATTACGATCCGTTTCTGTGCGACTAAGGCGGGTAATTTTGACATCAAACCGTCTTAAAGTGCAAAAAGTATACAGTACATGTATCCCCGAGCTAAAAGCGAAGGTATGTGTTTGTCAGATTTAAGGGTTTGGTGAATTTTTATATAAATAATTGCAATAAGAGTCAAAGGAAGCCATTGTCATGTAAAACGCTTTAAANCCCCCCCCCCCCCAAGCATCATAACCTCCTGCAGGACTTAATGGGCTTGTGTCAGTGAGCCAGGCGTAGGGATGAGCATTAGCAGCATTCTGCCTAAAATCACACCAAATACATCCTCGTAACACGAACGTAGACAGAGTGCAAGTGACTGTACGAAGGGGGTCACACTCCAGCCTCCCGCCCACACCGATATTAAGACTGCAGGCGGACCTTTATTTCATATTATTTTGGATGAGATGGTGGTGAATTACAGTGCTGATAATTTCCAGTAAATGCAAATGGCTCAAATTCAGGTACCTGTGATGGCAAACCAGCTAACATTAAATGGGCCACAGGTAGCACTGAAACCTCTAGAGTGAGTGCGTTTTAAAAACTAAATTTTCAATGGATTTATATTTTGTGCCAACTAACCATAACTCAGGGCTCCATACTAACTTGTCCATACTGTACTAACTCAGGGCTCCATACTAACTTTTTCCACTAGTAGCCCCGATGCTCCTTACTGAACATTCTAGATGAATCAGAACATGCAACATTCTGATAAATGCTTTGGTAGCCTAATATGGGCCTACAATTTACAGAAATAACCATGTGATGTTTAAAAGTCACAAGGTACAGTAGTGTTTAAGAGAATGAAAAATTAAGTTAAAGGCTACTTTGCAAAACATAAACATCAAATCAAAGGTAAGCATAAGGTAAGTGGTCAGCCGCTATTCAATCAGGTCCTCTGTCGCTGCATAGATTATGCTGTTTTTGTGGTTTAGGAGCCTTTCATGAGCATTTTCCACTGAAATTCAGAAATCTAGTTCTGGGCTGTTTCAAAATGGGACTTTTGTAGCTCCCGGCCACTTTTTGTGTCGTTCTCCCACTGCACGACTAGAACTGGCACCACAAACATGGGATACGCAAAAAGCTCATTTCACTGGAAACCGCCGCGCCCCAGCAATGGAGTTATTTTGTTATAGTTAATTGTTATTTTTGCTCTGCTATTTGTCTGTATTCCACACACTTCCGCGTATCTTCCAGGCTGGCTGGGGGCATCTTCCAGTGCCCCCAGCCAGCAGTGCCCCCAAGGAACTGCAATCGGACCGAGCTCCAGCGGTGGGAATGGGCCCTTTGTCACCGAGACAGACACAGACAGACACAGACCGATTCTCACTCTTTTCGGGTGTTTCACATGATACACGACGATGAAAAAAAAAAAAAAAAAGAGTTAAATAGCAGTGTCTCTAAACATGGTCACAACTAAGTGCAACTAAATGGTGACAGTCTGGAACCCTGATAACTGCACTAAAATTGCACCTAAAATAAAGAAGCATCTGTATAAACACGAGGGTGGGAACAGATACATGGCGGGGGGCCTAGCAAAGGCTGCTGGGAGGGGAGCGGGACTCACGCATCCGCTTTAGTGCGCGGGATAGAATAACAAACGCTTATTACGATGCTAAATGAAGCAGCGCTTCTTTGCTCAGTAATGACACCATTAGTGGTCTAATGAGCTGGAAAAAAAAACATGCACTTACCACAACCAAGGCTGAGACCCACAGGGGGTTTCAGAGAAAAGGCTACATTTAACATTCTATTTACAACAGTAATGAAGGGAAGGTCCTTATGGTGTAGCACAACAAAGAGCATCCCGATTCTCTGTATATATAAATATTATACATAATATAAATAATTAGTATATATTGTGCAACACCTATGTGGTGCAGTACATTAGGCCAGCGATGGCGGGGGTTTGTGCTTTACAGGTAGGAAGGAAATAATTAGGATGTGGGATTGCAGTGCTAATCATCTATGCTTAATTGCTCTGTGCATTTAATTTACTCTAATTTGACCTCTTGATCCTGATTTTCTTGAGAGACTTCTGTTCGTGGCGATTTGACAGGCATTTTATTAACACGTAATTATTTGTATTCCTTTGTATCTTTTAGCCTCAAAGGAACTAATTAGCATTTCTCTGGTAAAAATTACATTGTATTGAGGTCACAATCAGTTTGCAAGCACCCATTTGGGATGCTGCCTCTAAAAGCAGCCCGACCAGAAGACACCTATGGATGTGTTTAAACTTTCCACCGGTGTCTCTCCTACATCGCCAGGCCACTACATACCTAAATAGCAGTTAGAATGTAACACTGGCATCTCGCACATGCACCACGCCCTCCAAGCTATGTTTCGTATCTGATTTTTTTTTCTCTGGTTTTCCTTTTGCGGTATCACTTCTGGATCCTTATGCATTACATATTTATGATATCCTTATCTTTCTTTTCTCTTTATTCTTTTACTGATAACACCACCTTCATTATGCCGGAGTTTCATTCCACTGCAGGTTACAGTCTGACCGTACACCTTGCATGTGACGAATTCTGGAACACTTGAGTCTGTTCCAGTCTCACCTCCGCCCACGGCCCGCCTCCTCCGCTACAGTGCCAGTGCCGCCTCTCACTCTGCTTCTCTGCTTTGGACCCTATTACACCATTGGCTGTATCCAGTCGCCTGATTTTCCCGTCTGGCTTGCCATACAGTCCCAGCACAATTCGTGCTAAGCACACAATGAGTAGCTAAGCAGAAAAACACCAGACGATGCTAATGCTAATGGATATACAGCACATAGTAATACAATAACACCACATTTCTATGATCAAATACATACAAATGGCCGTAATACAACAAATGGCATCCTCTGCAGTCATATCAATTTTTTTCTTTTTTTGTGGGGGGGGGGTTAGTACCAGCCTAAAAAAATCATTCGATCCATCATTTTAAATTATCCATGCACAGAATGCAGGTGCACGATACACATGATACAAGTGATACAGGTGCACAGTACCCGTGATACTGCTACATTTTAGATTACATTATATCATTTTATATTATATTATTACTGTAATTCTTTGTTACCATAAAGCTGCATGTCTATGTCACTTAGGATGTGTGGGAGGCTGCACAAGCACACAGAGATCATTATACATCACTGATTAATTCCACAGTATTACTGGCACAAATGCTTCTACAAACACATACTGGTGTGAGCGATTACGTTCTGTCAACTTCACCGCGACCACTAATAGTGAACATGACAGGTTTCGGAGTTGCTAAGAAATTACCTAAAATATTGTATTGCCAAAAGTAGTATACAGATTATACTTTGACACTTTTTTTTCCCCTGAGATTGCTGAATACTCTGTATACTTAAGCATTAATAATCTGCTATTACATGTATTAAGAGTCTCTAGAATACAGAAAAATGAAATCCAAAGTGTATAATGAGGGTAAGGGGCTGCACAGGCGATTAAAACATGGTATCTTAGCAACACTGAATGTGATGCAATTCAGGCTACATAAGGATGAAATGAAAAGAGGGGGGGGTGGGGGTTCAGGTGCAAGCAGGCAGTGCTGCCAACCTATTGTTTGTTAGGGCTTTCCTGTTATTCTGGGGGGGGAGGCAGTGAAGGGAGTCCCCGCAGCCCGAGGGACATGCTATAGTGCACTACAGTACCTTGATCTTACTTTAATTATTTTTTAAATGCACAAGCTTATGTTATAATACCAATAATAATAATAAAAATATGTATCAACTGTTGTGTGCAACTGTCAAGCGAAACATTCTGGTTAATTATTATGTTGATCATTACGATCAATTGCTATGCTGAATCATTATCAGTTAAACTGTTGAGTTAAATCATAATTTAAAAATAATCATTAAAAATAAATAAATGGACACCATCAGTCAACTGGATTTCCAGATGCAGTCTTATAATTTTGTTAAGACAAGGCAGTCATAAGCCATTTAGCAGCAAGTCAGGACCGTGATTGGTGGATTCCTATATGGAGGCCACGATCAACCAAGCAGCAGACCCCTCTCTGGCCCCAGGATGTGGTTTTAGTGCAGAATGGGACATTTGGGCCTTTCCCATAACTTTTTTGGATTATGCAAATAAAAAGTGAATACGCAATTAAGCCACTCCCGGTTTCTGTCAGTTCGCATAATTAGGCTAATACTCCTTCAGAAACTCATCTTATAGGCTTTTAGTCCAATCTTGACATATGTGAACGTAAAATATGTTATAAACGTTTTTAATTACGCATTGTAAGCAATTTGGCCACCATCTAAACCCCGACTGAGAAATCACCATGCTCAGAGAATAGCAAAAGAGCAGTAACTCATGAACAAACTAGTGCAAGGTAACTTTTTTCCCCAGAGTAATTTACTCATACATCTGAACAGATCGTGTTGTCCCCCCCGCTTTTTTAAAGTGGGAGGGGTAATTGTTAACAAATATGCATTAGAAAAGATGGCAGCGATTCGGCAAAAGCCTCTTTGAAGGTAGTGCGAAATCGGTGAGGAACACCGAAATGAACACAGAATTGTTCTAAAACATGTTGCCTATAGGCCTATGTAAAATAATTTAACTGAATTATAAGTTTCGCATTCGCTATTAGAATGACACGTATTCCTGAAGGCGTATAAATACTAGGTATATCCGGATTTGTTTGTTTTTTAATTTCAATGCCCACTTCAGAATGAAAATGAAAGATACCCACGGAACTTCCGAGGGGATTGAAGGTATATTAAATGAGGACGCAATTTAATAAAAAGGAATTGTAAAACTATAAGACGTGGGAAAAGCGACTTTCAGGAATGTCACCTGCATATATCTGCTTGAAATTCCGTAGAAAACCACACCTTGAAGAAACATGGCGAAGAAACTCGGTACAGGTACAGGGACAGCGGGTAAGATCACGGGAAACATTTAGGCTAATGGGAACTCTCAAAAACGGCATCTGAATAATGTCATCTTCGTGGGAAAAAAACAATACGAGTACATTTATATAATGTCGTGTGATTCGTGTCGCACCATGAGGCCGGTTATTAGTAACGAAGTATAAAAGACACTGAAAAGCACAAACGAGTTAAATGGGAATCACACGGAAGAGGTGGAAGCCGTAAAATTCTTACCTTGAATTACTGCAAAAACAACCGTGAGGAGCCCGAGGGGTTTCATTGTAAAGTCGTGGAAGCGTCAGGAAGTGGTTTTACAATTCTGCCGAGACAAGGAACTCATAAAATCCCCAACAAAGCTAACGTGGTTAACTGTAAATTATAAGCTAGTAAAACGTTTTCTGCAGACCACCGTCGAAAAGTACATTACAGCTCTAACAGAGACTGGAAGCCAAGAATGTACTTTCACCTGTTCTTTTGCTCCTTCGAAGTCAGTGATCGCTTGAAATTGCCTATCGAAAATCAGATGGTATCAATGAGGTGCCGCTCCGAGACTAAACAGCTAGGAATGTTAGTGAAGGAGCAGGGCGGCTTGGTCATATGGCACTGCATTCAACGTCATCCGACAAAACTTGGGAAAGTTTCGACATCTCCGTGTAACTGGTCTGTTTCACTATCGGCACGTACGGATAGACTTGTATCGTGGAGCTTACTTCCTGAAAGCGGTACAGAACGCAAGGAATTCGGCTTCCTGCTTTTACTGAAGATCGTGGGATCATCTTCTCACATCGTTTCTAAGTGGCAAACACAGAGAACTGAGACCGATCATGTTTAAAGACTACTGATTACGGCTACATGACCAGTTTACTTGCCAAATATACTCTAAATGCTCGCATGTTTGCTCGTGTCTTGCTGCTTATCAGATCGTGAATTAAATTGAATTGAATAGAAAATTAAATGGATAGGCATACTTTATATTCCTGACCTCAATGCACACATTCATTACATTTAGTCATGTATCTAACGCTTGACGGTAGCAAATCACGTGTGCTCCCTCGTATGCGAATATATAAAAAATTAATATTTTTTATTATTTCCTAAGAAGAATTGCAGACATTGGGCACTGTCTGCCGTTAAGGGAAGTTTAAAAAAGAATCCACACTAAAGTTACATCGGGACTAAATGTGCCTTGAGTCTAAATTTAACACCATTCTAGCTGAACAAATCACCTCTTAAGACTTCTGAATTCAAATTACTATTATTGAGTTCTAAGGCTGTCAGGAGATCTGCTCTGCCGTTTCTTACAGAGGTTCTTGTTGCTTATGAATCTCCACAATTGCTATGTTCACAGGGAGCAGGCAATCTGTTCGACATTCAGATTCCTCCAAAGAAGGCAGGTTAGACCTCCTCAGATGTGCAACAACCTATGAGAAGTTATCTGGTTTCATTGGCATCTTGGACAACACCTGCATCCACCCCTTTCATTATGGCCAGTCTTTGGAGTTGGATGCATTTTCGGTTAGAGTAATGAGAGGTATATCAACTCATGTTCTTAATGCTCTTTAAACCTGCATAATTAGATCCTGTTTCTCTTTTTCCATCCCAATGAATAAAGAGGAAGTTTTAAATGCTTATTAAAACTGTCTACGAACTCTTGTGCTATACTGTGTGAGATAAAGATAGTATTTGCGCTGAGTGTATGAAGGAAGTTCTGGGACTATGGAAATCAGGCTGCATTAACTCATGCAAGGAGAATGCAGCCTCTGTTGTGTAAGCATGTTTGTGTGCAGCAGAGTGGGTGACTGTGGGATAAATGTGTCTGTGTTTGGTCGTGTTTGTGTGTGTGTGTGTTTGGTCGTGTTTGTGTGTATGGGTGTTTGGTCGTGTTTGTGTGTGTATGTGTGTTTGGTCGTGTTTGTGTGTGTGTGTGTGTTTGGTCGTGTTTGTGTGTGTATGTGTGTTTGGTTGTGTGTGTGTGTGTGTTTGGTCGTGTTTGTGTGTGCGTGTGTGTTTGTGTGTGTTTGGTCGTGTGTGTGTGTGTGTGCGTGTATGTATGTGTGTGCGTGTATCCCTGTGAGAGGTCTTGGTACAAAGAAAGTGTAAGATTTTTCCTGGGCAACCTATATAAATATTTTCATGTGTTGTGTAAATGTATGTTTTTTATAATGAATTTGATGGCGAGTGATCGATGCGGGTTCCTTCTATTGCAGTCATTCATTGCTCTGCCTGAGCTATATTCTGCTCAGAGTGAGGCTCAGAAAATGCTGCCCAGTCCAGATGGCAGCATGAACAGAAAGCCAACAAACTGTGGGATTAGTTGATATTTTCACTTCTCCTCTCCATTGCTGTTTAATCAATCTGCTCGCTGCCTTTTCGCCATAAATGACTGTAGAAAGCACCCACATTCACATTGTCAGACGCGTGAATCTGCCCTCCTCGCAGGAAGGTTCTCTTAAATTTTTTACGTATTTATAAATAAATACGAGTTTATAGATGTGTCACTTTATAGTTTACCTCCTGTAGTGAAGGAATTTAATGCTATATATGGAAACAATGTCTGTTATGAAACCAACCAGTTCAAAACACCATAATGTCCTTACATTTTTATTTGAACCAGCACTGCAGAGGACACCAAGGAACGGGAATCTAGTCACCCTGAACGGCATTATTTTCCTGCCTGCTGTAATTCCTGTTCCCTCTTAATTAAAATAGAAAATATTTCAAAATATAATATATTTTTGAAAACCTACAGAGGTCTGCTAAGTGGATGTTTCAGAAGCGCCTCCTTATGCTCCTGCTTAAGCCAGTTGGCAATATTTCAGTGTGAGGAGGAAGATGGACTGTCTGAGGGGAGTTTGCAGCGGCCGGAGATGTGAAAGGCTGTGATGTGGCATCAATCCTTACACTTGCTGACCCTCAACATTAGAGGGCGCTCTCACTCAGCAGGCTGCAATACTAGCAGAATGCTGCCCATTGATTTCACTCAATTGACTGAAACAACAAATTGATCTGATGCCTTCTTGTGCCGTATAATGGAGTCCAAATGATGGCGTGCTCTCTGCTGCCAGCTGCTCTGTAAGTCTGAGTAAGGCCTTTGCTTGCCTGGAACGCTCATTCAAATCAGCTCATGTTTTTAAATGTGCAGTAAGCGAGGAAATTCTGGTCAATCGGACACCATGCTCAATAGCACAATGGCAAGGATTCAAACCTACATTCCTCTAGACCAGTGCTTCTCAAACTGGTCCTTGGGAACCTCCACACAGTCGATATTTTTGCTCAAAAACATGAACTGTATGGTAGGGAACTGGGAAGGAGCAAAAATGTCGACCATCTGGGGTCTCTGAGGATCAGCTTGACAAATCAAGACGCCAACTGCTCCTGGCCTCACTGTCACCAAATACATACACAAGGGAGGGACAGACCTTTTTGACAGCTCAGTCTCTGAATGTGAAACCTCACCATGAGGACAGAGACCATCTGCCAGTGCACTCAGCCACATGTCCTAGATCGTGTGTACTTCAGTACCCTGATGCTCTCAAAGCTGAACGTCTTCCTGCACTGAATATAGTCCTGGATGCACTGGCTTTTGATGTGTTCATCTGCAGAGGGTGTTCTCTGTGTGTTTGGGTGAATGGAGGGTAGCAGACAGAAACAACACTGCCACCTGCAGGGAAAACCAGTGAACTCACTGGGAGGTAAACAGATTTCAAACTTGGGATGTTTTATTTTGTCACACACTGATGTTAATCCTCATTGGAAGTCTTTTAAGGATTCCTACCACCCACTACATTTCCTAACGCTACATACAGCCATCAGGTGACTCAGCAGTCAGCTCTGCGAGGTGACGCTTCTGCGGATGGACACTCATTTGTCCTGTCCTGCGTGTGAGGAGTGTGTGTTCTACTGGCAGTCTTCGGGTTTCCTCCTGTTCCAATACATGCATGTAGGTTAACCGGGGTCTCGAAATTGCCTGTAGTGTGGCCACCTTCCAGATGACTGAATTAGGCTCGAAGGTGGTCCTTTGCCTTGGGCCTTTGCTGCCTGGGAATGACGTCAGGCCCGTCTTCATCACTGAACAGGATCCATGGTTAGATGGACAGATACAGAACAGTAACTAAGGAAATAGGAGTACTGACCTTCCTCATTATGGTCTGATTAGGTCTTTATCCGAAGACAAAACTGAACTTCATTAAACGTGATTATATTCTCCAGTTCATGTGTATGTGTGTGTGTGTGTGAATGTGTATGCTGCACTGTTTTTCATATTTTAGAGATGATGAGGCTCTCTGTATTTCATGTCGACAAACTCACGGAAGCAAAAAAATTCGATTTTTACAAAAATGCCTTTTATTTCATCTCAGAGGTTCAATCTTTTCCATCACAAAGCATCTTTTTTTTAAAAAAAGTATTAAGCAAAATAATATTGCAATAATTAAAAATCCAACAGGAGGTTCTGATAGGACAAAACGGCTCAACACATAAACATTGGGCTTGTGGGGGCGTGCATGGCGACGATCACCAATGTGTAAGAGATCTAAACAGCAGGTTGTGCTGCACAGACCCTACAACCCTAGTGACCCACCAACAATGCATTAAAAACATGATCAAATGAGCCAAGCACTCATGCCAAGGCCTAAAGATCTCCGCTGCGAGTGTGAATCCAAGCACGGCCTCCTGACTGCGGTCGATGGCCATGCGTGCCATAAATGCAGGCATCACATCCTCTGTGCGGCTCTCATAACAGCCCCGCCGAGACGGTGGCTGGCGTCCGGACGAGGGCCACCTGAGCTGCCGCAGCACCCGGCTTGCTCCTCCCTCCCTTGTTCAGCGCTCCCGCTGCTGGTATTTACACTCTTTTTACGCCTCGCAGCGCATCCCTTGCCTGTTTATGCATCTGAAAGTTTCTACATTCTGGAACTTACTAATCCTGCTACAGCGGGTGGTAACAGGATACTACCTCACAACCGTACTTTGCACCTTGAAGTTGAATTAGCATAACAACTGTTAACAAAACCATTTTAAAATTGAAGATACCAATGGAAACTAAAGTAAAACAGACTGATCAGCTTTCCTTCTGGCCCTTCACGCTGTACTCTCACACATTCCTGCTTCCTTCCGATTGGTTTGTGGCCGGATTTATGTGTTGGCACGTTTCACCTCATATCCAGCCCGTGCTCAGTGCTTTGGGGTCTTTACCTCAGCTGTGCAGAAACTTACTGTGCTTTTCATAGTTTTGCTTTGGGTTATTTTCCCCATCATTTTATTCTGGAATGCTTTGTAACCCACCTAGAGAAACAGGAACCCTGTCCCTTACGTTCTACACACCTTATTCCATTCATCCTCTGGTTTCTTTTCATTAAGCTACTTCTAGGTAGGTGTGTCCATGTAGAATTTGAGTACTGGTTCCCGATTGGTTGGCTGACATCTTGGCACTCTCCTGGTATTACATTCAGCCTCCTTCCTCTGGTCACACCTTTAACCCCCCCAGCCCACCCCCACCCCCCAAAAAATCCCTCTCGTTTCTTATTTATGCCTCATCTTCTGCCTCCTCCTCAAACTCGCCCTCCTCCTCCGCGGTGGCGTCCTGATACTGCTGGTACTCAGACACCAGGTCGTTCATGTTGCTTTCGGCCTCGGTGAACTCCATCTCATCCATGCCCTCGCCGGTGTACCAGTGCAAGAAGGCCTTGCGGCGGAACATGGCGGTAAACTGCTCGGAGATGCGCTTGAAGAGCTCCTGGATGGCCGTGCTGTTGCCGATGAAGGTGACGGCCATCTTGAGCCCTCTGGGAGGAATGTCACAAACGGCTGTTTTAACGTTGTTGGGGATCCATTCCACGAAGTAGCTGCTGTTCTTGTTCTGCACGTTCAGCATCTGCTCGTCCACCTCCTTCATGGACATGCGGCCGCGGAAGACGGCGGCCACCGTCAGGTAGCGGCCGTGACGCGGGTCGCAGGCCGCCATCATGTTCTTAGCATCAAACACTTGCTGAGTGAGCTCAGGCACTGTGAGGGCGCGGTACTGCTGGCTCCCTCTGCTGGTGAGGGGGGCAAACCCAGGCATGAAGAAGTGAAGACGGGGGAAGGGAACCATGTTGACGGCCAGCTTGCGGAGATCGGCATTGAGCTGGCCGGGGAAGCGCAGGCAGGTGGTGACGCCACTCATGGTGGCCGACACCAGGTGATTCAGATCCCCATAGGTGGGCGTGGTCAGCTTCAGCGTGCGGAAGCAGATGTCGTAGAGCGCCTCATTGTCGATACAGTAGGTCTCGTCCGTGTTCTCCACCAGCTGGTGCACGGAGAGCGTGGCGTTGTAGGGCTCCACCACGGTGTCGGAGACCTTGGGGGAGGGCACCACGCTGAAGGTGTTCATGATGCGGTCGGGGTACTCCTCACGGATCTTGCTGATGAGCAGGGTGCCCATGCCCGAGCCGGTGCCCCCGCCCAGCGAGTGCGTCAGCTGGAAGCCCTGCAGGCAGTCGCAGCTCTCCGACTCCTTCCTCACCACGTCCAGCACCGAGTCCACCAGCTCCGCCCCTTCTGTGTAGTGACCCTTGGCCCAGTTGTTTCCAGCTCCACTCTGGCCTGTGAGGGACAGAGAGGCATGTGCACCAGAGCCCAAGGACAGGGACCACGAAGACCAAACAAAGTCTTAGTCTAACTTACCAAACACAAAGTTATCGGGCCTGAAGATCTGTCCAAAGGGTCCAGATCTCACAGAGTCCATGGTGCCAGGTTCCAGGTCCACCAGGATGGCTCTGGGCACATACTTGCCACCTCCATAAGAGACGGGAAGAGGGAAATACACACAGCAGCTCAATAATGCAGGGAAGCTATAGGCAGGCAGCAATGCCAGTAGGGAGGCAGGGTGCCCAGCTCCTGGCCCCCCGGGTCTGGCCCCCTCCTCCGCCGAGGCAGAAAGCACTACCTGTGGCCTCATTGTAATAGACACTGATCCTGTCCAGCTGCAGGTCGCTGTCACCGTGGTACGTGCCGGTGGGGTCAATTCCATGCTCATCGCTGATCACTTCCCAGAACTTCAAAGGGAGAGAGCAAACACCTTACAAGCAGCTCCAGGAATGAACACCTCAGTATATTTCCAGTAGACATCCGTGTCCCAGCACTACTCATTGATATTCATAGTGGGAAGCCATTTTTGCGTGTTTAAGACACATACCCATTCTTATAGACAGCCTGAAAGAAACAACTGACTGTTAACAACTGCCTTTATTCTAACTCACACACACAGTCTCTCGCTCTCTCACACACACACACAGTCATACACACACACAGTCACACACTTTTCCCCCAACAATAAGTCCGACATTTCAGCAAAGAGACGACACCCTCGGTACCAATCAGTGCAGCCTGAACTTGGGTAAATGTTAAGTTATCTCTCTATTTAGCCAAATAGTTCAGTTGGTTAGTTCAGCTGATGACCAAATAGGTCATTTCCAAGATGTCAGTGGATGCTATTTAAAATGCCACGTGGTGCAGATGCATTCCTGACGTCGCCTCGGCTGTTGTGTGGAATGGTGGAATGGAACCCAGCCCTGCGGCCACGTCACTGCCAGTCACTGCTCAGCTTGCAGCCTCAGTGCACTTGCTCAGAGCACAGGCTTTTTTAGCATTTTTTAGTATAAAAGACAGACTTGTTCAATGACTATATTTATTACTGGGAGTAGGCTGAGATATGTTTACTGCATGTGTATCAGGGAAAATGACTGACATCCAACTGACTGGTACCCAACAGACTACTGAATGCAGACTATTAGATGTTCTGTTCTTCTAAACTGATATTACAAAGTAAATCAAGATCAAATGCATTTAAAAACCGCAAAGTGCCTCATGTACTGAGTGTAACACTTCTACCAGGTATTACATGCTCTATGTTTTTGGAAATACACTTCAGAACTAATTCAAATTTAGAATGCAATAATTTAGAATATAATTTTGGTATAAAAATGCATAAAACACAAATTACAAGACACAAATATATCTTTCTAATGAAACAGTAACACTTCATAAATTAATGGACCAATGATAGCACACCAAGCATGTCCAATTAAAAAAAGCAGACACCACACCCCGATGGGACTGGAGCCAATGATCACAGGTCCTGTGTGGACCTCAGTGCTTTGCTTACGCCACCTAATGCTGCCCCTTCATGTGCCACGGCAGCTGCATCACTGACATCCTCTATTTCAACCCCCCATTAAACCCAAATAACTTCGAAAACCATTGATCTGACACCAGGCGGTCATTCGGGTTTTAAAACCCATTTGCTACTGTACTTGCTGTGTTGCCTAGTGATACTGGTCTGAAGCTTTTGTCGCAGAGCTGCCAGTCACAGACAGAGAACCTGGGAAGAGCGCTGATACATTACAAGTGTCGCACTCTGCATTAATCATAAAAACATAAAAAAACGAATAGCCCTCTTTAATAAGGGTAAAGACCTACTCTTAGAGAGGACCACTTGAACCACACAAATGAAATTCTAATACAAACGGATTTAAATGGAAATGCATACTTTGTAAGTATTTAGTGTTTAATGTTATGCAATTTTGCCAAACACAGGTACAGGAATAAAGGTTATTATAATTTTAATGAAAAGGCATACAGTAAATAAGATTAAATCTTAAATCATCTACATAATGAGTAAACAAATATTATAGTTAACTGCAAATCAGCTCCGCTCCCGACCCAAAGTCACTGCGGGGTAAACGCCCAGACCCTCAAATGCAAAAAACACACCGTGCATTACGTCACCGACTGACACAACTACAAAAAAAAAGACAGAAAAAGACGCGCCCCATACAAAGGGTCCACACAATGGGAGCCCGTGATGGGTGACGAGAGGATGGTGAATGGGAGACCACGATGGAGCTGCCTGCCCATCCACTGACACCGGCTGCTCCAGAGTGCCGGGCTAGAGGAGCTCCTCGCGTCCTTACCCGCTACGAGAGAGACACTCGCCGAAAGAGCATGCTTTCCCCTCGGGGTCGCAGCCGCCACACCCATTTTTATAGTCCGTCAAAGTACCGGTAAAACAGGCGCAGAGGATACGGGGATGGACACGCGGCGCCGTTCTCCGCGGGGCCAGACAAAGAGACCGCCCGCCCCGCTACGCTGCCACTCACTGCATTTATACATTTTATTTCTGGAGCCACAGACATTTGCAAAACATCAACATGTTTTCTGGACGTTATTTTCAACCAACTAGAATGTAAATTTTAATGGTGTAAAGAAGCAGATTCAGCTGTTCATGTAAGGGAGGGGCAGAGAAAATCAGGTCACAACGCCCAAGGAAAAAAATCACATTTAGACAATCAGTCCAGTGAAGTAAATAAAACGCGTTACTAACATTTTTAATATAACGCAGATGCCGACTTAATGCGTAATGCATCATTTTCTCAAAAATGTAGCAAACAATATATTCGTTGGAAAATAACCATACTCTAACCTTCATATTCCGTAAAACATTTTTTAAATGATATGCACAAGCAAACAATAATTAGCAAATACTATTTATCCAAAATATCTGTCACTTGCCACTGAGCTATGATCGCTACCGCCACTCTTACCTTAGCCCCAATTTGATTACCACACTGACCAGCTTGAATATGCACGATTTCCCTCATCTTGTCTGCCTATGTAAAAGTTATAGTAAATATATAAAGATAAAGTTTTGTCTGAGATACGAAAGTACTGTTCGTCACTCCACAAGCAATGCCTACGCTGCACAAGATACCCTTTAATACAATTATAACGGGACAAAGGATTTATATATTTGGACGGCGGCCAAAACGAGGCTGCGACTTGTGATTGGCGATGAACAACAGATGCCGGGAGAACTCTAATCTTATTGGTCTGTGTGGAATATGCTATAGCGATGGGGTTTCTTAGACGCGAAGCTAAGGGCCGGAAGTTGTTTCTGCGCTTTATAGGGACTACGCTGTGTGGAAAGGGAGTAGTCATGCAGTCATTGTTCGTAATAAATCCGAATTGATCGAAGATTTAAACACATGTATTTAAACATAAAACGCAAAAATGAGTAACACCAAGAGGGCCATTTAATCAATGACAAATGTTATCTATTAAGTAAAATGTAGATGACGTTGTATGTTATGAATGATAGCAGAGTACAGTATAGTAGATTTAAATGTTCATCGATAGGGGAGTTAACCCTGGTGCTGAATTATGTCTGAACGGTCCAATGCGTTATAATGGTATCGTTTTAAATAGATAAAACGATATCTATTTAATAGAGTATTTAAGTATGAATTACTCTTTAATAGAATCAGTTAAATATTGAGTAAAACAATGGCGTAGCAGAGAGTTTAATGTAGAGGGAGACTTAATTGCAAAGCAAAGGCTTATTTATAGGGGGACGAACGAAGACAAATTAAATATTGGGTGTACACATCCGCCCTGTTACTACCCCCCGGAATTAAATATCATTCTTTGTCAGTTTATTTGGTAATACCTCCTTGCGCTTCACTCCTCACTCAGTTTTCTTTATCCTTGTAAAATTCTCAACACATGTATATTTGTATATTTTTGTTTACACTATATATAATTTTTGCATTGTCACTGGAGTGGTTCGATGTACATACACTACGCGGCGGCAATAAAGGTTTTCTGTTTTGTGTATGAAATGCATTGTGTACCAAAACAGCCTTTCTGATTAATTGCCAACAATGTAGTAAAATGTATTATGGGACTTACATTCCTGAAACCAGCTGCTCAGTTGCTGTAGTCCTGAAATAGACCATATTAAAGGTAAAGGTGAAGCAAGCTTTTAAGCCTTTTTGTTGTATTTCATGAGATGATGTTTTGACAATGATGTTTACTATCAGTGCGTATTCTATGTCTATGAGCTAGGATGATTTACTGTTCTGGTGGTGTAGCAAAAACGAGGGGGAGGGGAAGGATGTGTCTTACAAAGCATTCAAGGATGAACAATAGAAAAAACAGTGGCTGTATCTCCCTAATTCACTGCAGAATAGCAGTTGTTTTAAGCATTTATTTGGCTGCCAAGTCTCATTTATGTTCTGGGGGGAATCACGTGTGTATTCTGAAACCTGTAGGACTGCAGCAGGAATGGGAGTTCACAGCCATGATATTACAGCAATTGATGTCTCACTTTAAAACTCCGGTCAAGCATTACAGAAGCGCGTTCTTCCTATTATCTTAAATGTTAGATTATATTTACATAATGACTTAGATAATATGCGCAGTAACTTGAGTTTAGCCTTATTTGTTTAATGTGTCACATTATGTTTTACATCTGTCGTCACACGTTCTCCGTTGTGGCGTAAGATGCGCATCTTGCGTATCAGAAGCAATAAAATAGATAAAACACAAGCTTAAGCGGTATGACTGAAAATAAAAAATCACCTGTCGTCAAGTGATTATTCCCTATTATGGCTGGCAGTTTCTTACAATGTTATGCGTTATAGGTGTAGGCTACCTAAAGAGTGGGTATTAGAAATTACCATTTGCGAAATAAATCCGAACCTAAACACACAAAACTACACTTCTTGGGTAATTACTGACATGGCATTCAACTTTAGCTTCTAGAACTGATTTAAAAATGTAAATATGAAGAACAATATTCTTCCGTTTCGAATAAACATACGCTCCATCCAAGATTAAAAAAGAAGAGGCATCAGCTGCACAGGATATTATGTGGTTCCCATGAGGACGAGGGCGTGGATTCGCTCCCGATGAACCGCGCGCAGAGGGAGACTCCGGCGCACCCGACGTGCAGCCAAACATTATATTGTGACGTAACGCCATAGCAGCGGACGGACCTGCGGCTTTCCAGAGACGTACGGTGTTTCGCTTTTGCAGCGATAATACGCTATTGGTAAGTGGATCTCGCTCATATATTGAGCAATACGGGGTCCGTCCACATTCCAAGTGTCGCGTTTGTGGTCCATTACTTCAGTAAATGGTGGAAAACTTGCCTAAACGTGACATTAGCATGCTGCTATTTTCCATTGGCTTGGTAAAGTTGTATTTAAAACGTTATATTACTCCTGAATGTTTTATTTATGATTATTTATTAATATAATTTATACTAATGAAAGTGTACAGTGTTGGGGTTAATGAACGACGGCTTCATCTGCGCCGCCAGATGCGATGAATAGCAGTTAGCTATTCAGTAGTAGGCTAGCTGAGGGGTCGGGATAATGTCCCGAGCTGGGTGGGGTTATCCTCATGAAGAAGCTTTCTGTTGTGATATACGATAACGGTCGTGTTTTGTACATTTTTCTTAATTTCCTACAAATAAAAGTCTGTATAATTGCTGCTCTTCAGAAAGCCCTTTAATTCGATTTAAATGTCCACACCTTGGGATTCTGGACGAGTTTATTCAGGTTACGAAATAAATTGATAAATAAATAAAATAATTATACCTGGACTAAGCAATACAGTAGTCGTGGTAACATAATAATGCACATTTTCGAAATGAAATTAAATGATTTTCTAATGCATTAGGGATCAATAGTTCCAAGGAAAAACACATTCCACTTGTACTGAAAATTACACACACGCATTCTTAGGTCAAAATTACACCGTATGAAAGGCTCTGTGAGTCAGGATTCCTTCGCTAAATCTAAACAGTGCTTTTTTATTAGTGTATTTTTATTTTTCACATGTACATATAATTGTACAATACTGCAAATACCCAGTTATTGTGGAAAATGTTAAATTTAGATGACTTTTGGCCAGTGTTTGTACAGGTTTATGCACATATTTCTGCAGTCCTAGATTCAACTCAAGATGTTCTACACGTGCGGGCCCAATGAGGCAATGGTGGTGTCAGGTAGGGTGCTGCATGTATGGCTGAAATGCTTTATAATGTTGTCCACAATTTTAAATGAAATAAGTTACTTAAAACATATGCTGAGTATGCTTAATAAAATACATAAAGCTGATCTTTCATACACAACCAGTATTTTTGATACTCTTACATAAATATAGGAGGACTGTGCAAAAGTCTTAGGCTGCCAGAGAAAATTATATTTAAAGCAACTTATCTATTTATCAATACAGTATATACTGCATTATAATAAAAAGTATTTCTTCTATTCTTCAAAAAGTGAAATGTTGCTGGCTGGCTTGAAGAACAAATCTTTGCTCCCCAAATCTCTCCTTTGGGATGTCGCAGCCATTCCGGGGATTTGCTGTCACACTTGGACAAAAAAAAACAATATTGTATCGCTGAAATGTTTTGGAAATTAGTCCAAGATAAACAAAATAAAATAAAATCTGTCACATGCACATACACACATCGACCCTTCAAACATACATGACCGGCTTTCCACACTCTTGCATAAGACTTTCAGTCTTATGTCGATGTGCACTCTCCATAGGTTTCTGTCGCTCGCCTCCCCTCATGATCGCGGGTGGTCGGGTCTTCGTCGTCCCCTGTGTTCAGCAGATCCAAAGGTAAACATTCAGTCCCTCTGCACTTAGCCAGCTGCTGGCCTTAGAGCTGGTGTGATCAGACGTTGGTTATTTTCCTCTGCAGTGATAATGACAGTATTGTGTGAGGTATTCTGATGCACACTGCCTCTCCACTTCTGTCTTTTTCAGGATCTCTCTGAACACCCTAACCCTAAATGTGAAGAGTGACAAAGTGTACACCAGACACGGCGTGCCCATTTCTGTGACTGGCATTGCCCAGGTACACTGAACATCGGTTTACCATGCAGTGTCTGCGGAATGGCCATGTGCATTGTTCACTGTGCAGCCAAGGTCTTGATCCATACAGTGTGTGCTGTATACAGTATGTACAGCATATGTGAAATGGCTGTGTGCAGTCTTTATGTACACTGTGCCCAGTGCCAATGTTCAGTGTCTTTCTGCTGTGCTGTGTAGTCAGGCTGTCATTGACTGATGTGCATTTCTTGAATCATGATCCATCCATAGATGAAGATTCAGGGTCAGAACAAGGAGATGCTAGCAGCAGCTTGTCAGATGTTCATGGGGAAATCAGAAGGCGAGATTGCCCAGATCGCCCTGGAGACTCTAGAGGGCCACCAGAGGGCCATCATCGCTCACTTGACTGTAGAGGTACATGATGTGCAGCTGCACAGGAGCGCAGAAAAATGCATCTCACACATGCAGGCACCAGCTTATGCCTCACGCTGTCGCAGGAGTCGCTCTTTGCTCTCTCTGTCTATAGGAGATCTACAAGGACAGGAAGAAGTTCTCTGAGCAGGTCTTCAAAGTGGCGTCTTCTGATTTGGTCAACATGGGCATCAGCGTGGTCAGCTACACCCTGAAAGACGTCCATGATGACCAGGTGCCATGTCTCCCTCTGCCTCGTCTTTACCTCCCTCGCTGTGCAGTCAGTCAGCAAACTGCCCTTCTGTCTCCCTCCCCAGGATTACTTGCACTCTCTGGGGAAGGCCCGCACCGCTCAGGTGCAGAAAGATGCCCGAATTGGGGAGGCTCAGAACAAGAGGGATGCCGTAATTCGGGTGAGTCATGTCCCTCATGTGGGTCCTGTCCAGGTAGCCTCCCTTCTCCACCTCCCTCCTCACCTTCACCCTCTGCTTCTGCCTCCTGGTTGCAGGAAGCTCATGCAATGCAGGAGAAAGTGTCTGCTCAGTACCTCAATGAGATTGAGATGGCCAAGGCTCAGCGGGACTATGAACTGAAGAAAGCCGCTTATGACATTGAAGTCAACACCAAGAAGGCAGAGTCTGAGATGGCCTACCAGCTTCAGGTGTGTTTAGAGAGGTAGTATCATTGCTGAGCAGCATAGGCAGCACTGTCACACTAAGGGAACCTACAAAAACACTGGAGCACTAGCAGACTGTACTAACTCTTCATCACAGGCGGCAAAGACAAAGCAGCGCATTGAGGAGGAGAAGATGCAGGTGCAGGTTGTGGAGAGGGCCCAGCAGATAATGCTTCAGGAGCAGGAAATCATCCGGAAGGAGAAGGAGCTGGAGGCCAAGGTCCGGAAGCCAGCCGAGGCTGAGCGTTACCGCCTCGAAAAACTGGCTGAGGCTGAGCGGTGAGACCGGCTCCCCTTTTGCTCCATGCCTGCAAGCTACAGATAGTCTGCCCAGGCTGTATCTTCAGTCCCCTGTTGTGCTGATTGTTGCCCTCTTGTGTATGTCTGCAGCCACCAGCTCATCATGGAGGCCGAGGCTGAGGCAGAATCCATCAGAGTGAGTCCCAGGTGACAGGGGAGGCAGAGACCTATGCAGTGTGACAGTGACTGACCTCTGTCCCAGGTGACAGGGGAGGCAGAGACCTATGCAGTGTGACAGTGACTGACCTCTGTCCCAGGTGACAGGGGAGGCAGAGACCTATGCAGTGTGACAGTGACTGACCTCTGTCCCAGGTGACAGGGGAGGCTGAGGCCTATGCAGTGTGACAGTGACTGACCTCTCCCCCAAGTGACAGGGGAGGCTGAGGCCTATGCAGTGTGACAGTGACTGACCTCTCCCCCAAGTGACAGGGGAGGCTGAGGCCTATGCAGTGTGACAGTGACAGACCTCAGTTGAAAGGAGAGGCAGAAGCCTATGCACTGTAACAGTGACTGACCTCTCTCTCAGGTGAAAGGGGAGGCAGAGGCCTTTGCAGTGGAGGCCAAAGGCAAAGCAGAGGCGGAGCAAATGAGCAAGAAGGCGGAGGCCTTCAAGGAGTACAGAGAGGGGGCCATGGTGGACATGCTGCTGGAGAAACTTCCCTTGGTGAGTCTCAGAGGAGGAGTTTGAGACAGTGTCAGCTGTATGTGTAAGTCTGTAGCCCACGAGGTTTAAAATGGCTGCGTGAGAACAAGAAACCAGAAGCTGGATATAGTGAATCTAGGGACAAAAACAGAGAATATAACTGTAACCTCTGCAGACTTGGCTTGTAAAGGGGAGTCCATTTTGTCGCTAGTTCCTTCAAGGTCCCTATCTTCCATCCAACCACCCATTTTTCCTATGCAAGGAATATCCAAGGACAGGGTCCAACCTGTCACAGGGCCATGTTTTCCCTTTGAATTTTAGTCCATTTAGTCCAACTGCTGATCATATTCAGGGTTGCAGAAAGTCCTATGGGCGCAATGTGGGGAACAACCCAGGATGGGGCGCCAACCCATTGCAGGGCACAATTTGGTAACTCCAATTAGCCTCAGCATGTTTTTGGACTGTGGGGGGAAACCGGAGTATCCTGATGAAACCCCATGGGGAGACCATGCAAACTCCACACGCATGGAATCTTGAACGCTGGTCCCAGAGGTGTGAGGCAGCAGTGCTAACCACTGCACCACGGTGCCGCCTTGAATTCCAGGCCTTTTAGGAATTGTATTCTTCCCACTTTCCACCAGATGGCAGAAGAGATCAGCAAGCCCCTGTCGGCAGCACAGAAGGTGACCATGGTGTCGAGTGGAGGGTCTGAAGTGGGAGCGGCCAAGCTGACTGGGGAGGTGCTGGACATCATGACTCGACTGCCAGAGGCTGTGGAGAGACTGACAGGAGTCAGCATCTCGCAGGTGAGGCCTGTGTCTGCCATATTCACCCTCTGATTGTCTCTGTGTTTCTCTGTCCTGCCCTCTTCGCCTCTAAGTGTCTCTGCGCCTCTTGTCTGATTCCCCAGTCCTCCAGTGCTGCTATGTGCATCCGTCCTGTCTCTCTGGGCGTCTGTGAGCCATAGTTATGCATATGTGAGTGACGCCAGCAGTGAGTATGAGAGGCAGGATGTAGGCTTGCTAGGGATGGTATCACAGTACCTCATACTTTAGCAGGCACCAGTGACACAATGACTGCATGTAAGGTAACTGTCTCAGATGGTTGGACACATTATGAAACTCTTTGTAAGACATTCAATTACACAAATTCAATATAAATGGAAATATTTGTTATCTAATACTATAATAAATTCATTAATTAATGCACAAAAGCTATAGCATCAGTAATTTACTAGTAATATGAAATTGAGAAATAGAATAAAATATATACATAGTGATTGTATATACAGTTCAAATAATTTTAATTACATGAGCCAAATCCCGTGCTTTATTTGTAATTAAAAAACAACCAGTGAACTGGTAATGGATTTTGTACTGATTCTTTGTGTCTCCTTCCCCAAGGTTTCGGGTAAATGTACTCGTATGGGCTGAAGAAGAACCCCAGTGACTGGCTGGAGCCGCCATGAAACC